TTGCTTTTCACCCTATTCTAACAATTTCTCACCTCTGATTAGGCTGTAAAGCTCCAAGGCATTGTATGTCTGTCTCTCCTCCTGCACCAGGGCCTGTGCTTGATTGTAGAGTAACAGCACTGCCAATACATAAAGCTGCCAATACACAAAGCTGAGGAATAATTAAAATACATGGAAAATAAGGGCTATTATTTATAATGTAATGTGATCCTGTATTTAACACAATATTCTAGCTAGATCTGTTTCTAAAATTCAATTTAGCTTCTAAAAGGTTAAGCCTAAATTTGGCTTTAAACTCTAACTTGTATGTAAGAAAAAATAGCAATTTGTTAAGTCTCCACTCCAAGGAAACTTGATTAACTTAGCCAGTTCTGGGAAACAGAAATGAATTTGGAGCTAGCTTGGTATCCTTTCCACTGTGAGTTGCAGACACAACCTGTTAATCTCAAAGATTTTAGGGAGAGCTGGGTAAGAATTTGGATTAAAAGGAATGAGGAATACTGGTGTAAAATATTACAGCATTAAATAGAAATACTTTGCTGAGGATGATATTACCTAAGAGAGATATGTATATAGGGTATATTATGGGTACACTGATAATAGTGTACTACTTACAACAATACAGAAACATACCCCTATGCTTTGAGTGGTCTAACACAGCAGTGGAGATGGTTTTCACAAACACATTTATTGATGACATGTATGTTTTTAGTAATACTTCAGACAATAAAAGTTGTTTTATAATTGTAGTACACTTCTACAATGGAAAACTATCCCTATTGAAACAGAAAATGTTAACATCCACCACTTCACAAATTACAACTGCACAAAAATATTGAAAAGAAAATAAAACCTAGTTTTGTTACTTAAATTAGTGCAGTACAAAGCTGCAGGCCATGGCACTAGTCCTCTAAAAAGATCTCACAGTGCTGTTCTCAGACGTGGTCTGTGCCTATCCCTGCAGTGCCCAGTCACATCTGCAGAGCTCTCTGGTGACAATGAGCTTGATGGCTTTGCTGTTAACACCGAGGATTTGTTAGTTCAGCCTTGGTTGTGAGGTCGCTGTTGAGGTGGACTCACTAACTGATAGAGCAGCGTCCACTTTGCACAAGCTGGTGGGATGATGGTCTGGCCAAGCCTGTAATGTGATGCAGAAGAGCAGAGCTGGAGAGCCTGACTTTGTGAGCAGTGTACGAATGGTGTGACATGTTCCAAACTGTGTAGGATGTTATTAAGAAACTTAAAAAGAACCTCTCAAAACTTTCTGGAAGATTTACCTAAGCTGAAAGATTTATTTTTTTTTGTACCCTCCCCCCGCCTCCAATCTGTTGCAAAAATAAAAATAAATATTTACATTTAACACATAGTATACCCAAAATCCCTGCTTTAGGCTTCCTAGCACCCTCTCCCAAGTATTTGTTTCTCCTTTCAGTGGCAAATATCTCCCTGGGGATACTTACAATTTAGTATACCTAAAAATGAGATCAGTAAGAGAAACCTTTGCTGACGCTTTTCAAGCAAAACTGAACCAAACCTGGGAATCCTACTATATCCTCTACTACTGTCACAATTTCAAGTAGACAGTAGAAACTATCACCTAAATAGTAATGCTGGTAAAGCACTTTTGGCCTTGTGCTTACTCTGCAGCCTGTTGGTTAACAATGTAAACATGAAGATATACAGGTTACAGCAAGAAGCCAGATTAATTCCCACTGTATCTGTAATGGTTTTGTTGGAATTTGGGCTAACCAGTGTGGATTATATAGTTTGATTTAGGATGGGTATATAGTGGGCAAGCAAGTAGAGAGCAGAGCATGAAACATGAGTCATACAAAGTACTATTGCACAATAAATAGAAATAAATATTATGCATATGCATGTCAAAGGGGATTTAGTAATTATTCAGCAGAAAACGAAGTTCATTCCAATAAATCAACAGAATATCACTGTGACAGGAGTTGTGATGCCTGTACTTAGGTCTATATGCTGTCCCCATTAGTACTGACTTGAGTAGCTCACACCAGGTGAGCCCAGGGATAGACTAAGTCTCTCAATTATTTTACTTTAGTTATTCTGAGAATTAAAAGCACTGTTGATAATCCTTTTAAAAAATAGCAGCATACTATTGCATCTTAATTAATTTTCTGTACTTTAAGATAATGGGAGTTTTTTCTCAAACATCTACAGCTAGTTCTGTTTTGATATTAAGAGGGTTCAACCCAGAGTTTCCCAAAGCTGACAAAGTCATACACAGCCAAATCTTACTCCCTTCTTCTCTGTTGGTACCAGGCAGCATCTTGAATCAAAGGATACTCTGGCCAACTCCTACTTGCACTTCAGTAGGGACCACATAGCCAAGGGTCCAGAGCAAAGGCCAGACCATTCTCTCTGCCTCCCCTGTGCTCTCGAATGCCCCATGCAGAGGGTCCAGCATGGCATTTTCAGCTCATAGGTGGGCAGGGGAGTTTAGGGTTCAGCAACAGTGTGTTTCTCAGCTCCTCCGTCGGTTGCAGGTGGATACATGGTGGAAGTGGTGGGGGTGTCCTTAGGGATAGGGGAGCTCTTCTATTAGCTGTCAGTTTGGGATGTTGTGGGGATGCCTGGGAACTGCAGGAGGTGGCTGTACAAAGTAACTGTGCTCCAAAAGTTTGCTTCCTGACGCTACCCAGTTAAGAGTTCATGGAGAGTTTTATCTCTGGATACTTTTTAGTATTTGTTGATTTACCTTTTTTTCTTTTAAGGAAACACTAGACTAGAATCCACTATACTTGGCAGCCGATTTCCTACTTCTTAGTAGAACAAAAATTTCCCAGCATTACTTAACAGCAGCTTTGCCCTCCACTTTATTTGACTAGTGATTCAAGGTCAGTCTTGCCCTGAAAGCACACCAGCTGCAATCCCTTCCTAACTTTCCTGCAGCAACCCAGCCTCGTGCTTCTTCCCATAACACAGGTGGCACCAGCAACCTAAGATACACAGTCTTTCAAAAATGGAGCATCTGGCATGAAATGATCAAAATCAGTAACCAATGGCTTTGATTTTTATTTCTTCTCTTTGAGATGGCTCTTGTAGTAATGCAATCAATATTTCGCAAATGAGCTCCCTATTGTAGGCACGGGGGACACTGGGTTTCAGTGAGCAAAGGGATGAGCAGGTGATGAGGAAATGCTTGCTTAGACTCTGCCAAGGAAGTTAACTGTCTCTCAGATGGGCAAGTTTGTACTTAATTTCTACAGAATTTTTGCCACAGGTAAGGGTCTCCAGATCCATCAGGTGGCAGGGAAATGTTGCTGTCTCTTCCTGTAACAACTTTAGAGATGAAAAACATTTGCGGCTGCATCCAGCAGGTGGCAAGCACAGCACACTGAAATATAGCTGAACAGAGATGCTTCTGCCAGGGGAAGCTCCTGATGCTGCTTAGCACGTGCATGTGTGTACATGAAGAAAATATCACACAGATATTTTCTTTTCTCTGTCAGTTCTTTATCAGCTTACAGAGAGCTGTGGCATTGGTACTGCTCTGGATAATGTTGATAATGCTGTTGATAATGCATGGGATTATTGCCATATTAATTTTAAACTAATGGCTGGCTTGCATGTAAGGACAGACGTAAGCTAACTGTAAAGTATTCTGTATAATAATTTAACTATGTCTTTAAATGACATGTTCAGGCTTCAAATTTCGAGATACTAGCTTGCAACTTAACTTAAACCTTTAATGAAAGATCATTTTTTTAACATACAGCTTTAGAAGCTTCAGTGACTCCTCACCATGCCTTGTGACATATATGAATAGACACAGATTCTGTTCCCATTTTGCAGCTAGAAGAACAAAGGCAAAACTGAAAAAAACTTTCTTTAAAGTAAGTGAATGAAAGAGCACTAAGATTCCTAGACCTGGTTGTAGTCCAGTTTTTCCTTAAAATTTTTAAACTACAGAAAAAACTTTTTTGTTGTTGTTGTGTTTTGATTTTGCTTATCAGAAAACATGGATACTCCAAGCACTTGCTACTTGAGGCAGAGCCACATTAGATTAGAATTTTGAAGATTATAAATACTGCAAATTCTCAAGGGCCATGTAATTGCCTACATGATATACGTACAATTTTGGAATTTTTCTCAAGTTTTGTAATGTCAAAAAGTATTTATGAACTTTATCTTTGAAGACAGTAAATGGGTGTCAATCAAAAATTAGTATTCTCTGGAGCTCATTATTTGAGGTAAAAAGGACATGTGAGGACATCATTAGTTGAAACTTCCTACAGTGATTATTACCTTCCCCCCCAATTTGTGCTGAGAGCTCAAGCCGGATTTTAGTTCTGATTTATGCTAGTATAAATTTGAATTTTTCCATACACATAAAAAAGGTTGTACAGGGAGCAAATACTCTAGGCACAGTTTCATATAAATGGAGAGAAACTCCATAAAAGCCAAGAGTAAAGTTTGATCTTGGATGTTTTGTGATGGGACTAAGAGTGTTGTTAGTTAAACTGATATATAAGCATTGTCATGTTTTTGCTTCTCAGAATGTGAGTTTACTAAATATGCAGGAATTTGAAAAACTAAGTAGATTTGATTATTTGGTCATTTCTCTCACTGAATGCCTTGGTTCTTATACAAAAATAGTTTGATGTTTTCTGATCAGCTTTTTCCCAGAACTCATGTTTTCAAATACAGAATTTTACTTCTGGTCATATAGACTATGGAGTTAACTCCCTCTGTATGTAATGTTCTTCAAAGGCAGTGTAGCTTATCAGGAGGGAAGGCTGAGTGAACCCCATTTTTGTGTGCACGCACATATGATTATTTTTTAAACTACTATAAAGATACACACTGGGATATAAATGTACATTTCTGAAGCAATGTTTGAAATGTATGAGTAGGAATATAAATCTAAAAATATATTTCCTCTATATTTAATAAATAAATCTGCATTTTATTGCATATATTATTATGAAAAAATTACCATTTAAAAAAAAAAAGAGAAAAATAGTAGCATGAATCAGAATGAGACCAATTTCAAGGATGTTAATTTTCCATTTGAGTTTAAAATTGGGCCTCTCTATATAGAATATATTTGAAAATATGTTATAAATATGAAGATAGGACATTTATGTCATTAAAAAACACCAACAAGCAACATAGCTCCACCAACTCCATGAACAAAATAGCTCACATGTATGCAAAACAGCTTCTTTGTATTTCACATAATTTATACAAGCTTTTCCTTTTAAAACACTTCTGAACTTAAGATAGGAGTTTTCTGTACCCTTCTTTTGTAGTTCTGAGTAAACAGCAGGATGCTGGCAGGACCTCTGACTTGCCTGTCCACCATTTATGTTGCTTTCAGTAAAGAAAAACAGAATGAAAACCAAGCAGTCCTCTTCATGGTGTAAAATGGAAGGCAACTGCTAAACCTTTACAGTCTGATTTCTCTAAGATGATCTAATGCCTCTGTAATGAGCAGTAAGCTGTGATGTTCAGGACTGCAGATGAGTCTTGCCATTCTTGCTGCTTCGTACACAAGGTTGTTCAAAGTAAGTGCATTGCAAAACGCATCAATCAGTGTCAAAAGGCCCAGCAGTTTTTTTAGTGTGCAAACGTATGTTCTCTGTTGGCCGATATGAGAGGGAGCTCATTTTTGTTGTTAGGCTTGGATGTGTGCTGACATTTGGTGGAATGTATTTAATTAGCTGGAGGAAATATTTTTTAAAGTTTTTTCCAAAAAAAACATAAAAGAAGGGATTCAGACAGTTGTTAAAGTAGGCAATACAAATGGTGAAGGGCATAGCCGTGTCCACAATATCAGTGATTTTGCAGTCTGTTATTACATGTAACTGAATTAACACATCCAGAAAAGTGAACACTTGATGAGGAATCCAGGAAAAGAAGAAGAAAAACACTATTGCCACAATCATCTTAAATATATCATCATTTCTAGTCTTATTTTTCTGAATTTGATATGCCTCCTTCAAGGTCTTCCAAATTAAGGTGTAGCTTGTTAATATGATCAGAAAAGGAATTAAAAAGCCCAGCAAATTTTTGGACAGACCTAATCCAACCCGGAGCGTCGTGTTATTGTTGTCATACCGAAAGCCACAGACTGTCATGTTCAAGTTCTCAGCAAAGAAGATGTTGCGGTGGATGATGACGGGCAGACTGGCCACGCCGGCGAGAAGCCAGATGGCAATGCAGGTTATCCTGGCCACAAACATGGTACGGCGGATTCGGGACTTCACCGGGTGCACTATGGCCAGGTACCGGTCGATGCTGAGGCACGTGAGCAGGAACACGCTGGCATAGAGGTTGAAACTTATCCCCGCTGACGCCAACTTACACAGACAGTTGCCGAAAGGCCACTGGTACTCCATGGCTGTGTAGGCTGCCCAGAGGGGCAGAGTTATTAAAAAGCACAAGTCAGCCAGTGCCAGGTTTAGAAGAAAGATGCTGGCCACTGTTTTTAATTTCATGTAGCAGTAGATGACAATAACGACCAGGCTGTTCCCAAATATGCCTATGATGAAGATGATGCTGTAGACGGTCGGAACCATAATGTAGATGTAACTGTGCCTCCCTGAAACGGGGCAGTCGACGTGGATTCTTTTAACAGTTTCTTCAGTGGAGTAATTTGGAATCATTTTGATCTCTTCAGCTGTTACCTAGTTTCAGGGATAAAGTATGAAGCTCACACCTAGGAGGGGAAAAGACGAAGAAAGTAGTACTCATGATAGGGATTAGATTTTTAAAAAGTTTCAATTGAATTTCAAGATTTTGTGTCTGACACAATGTGTCAGTCTTGGAATTGAAAAATAAGCCATCTTCAAGTGTTTTCTCAACCAATACCTGTTTTAATACAGACTTTGCACAATAATACAGAGGTAAGAATGTTGGGAGTTAGATGAACAATGTTAGGTTCTTTTTAACACAAATGAAATCTAACAAACTTCTTTCAATTAACAAAGTTCCAATTTAAAATAATACTGGTTAGTGAGCATATATCAAAAATAATGAGAGACTGAAAATAGCAGATAACTATAAATTCAAAAGAGTCTTTAGGTTATTTTCTTTCCATAAATAGGTGACATATCTAATGAGCAAAGTTATTCCTATATCTCAGAACCTAAACTTAAGCACTCTGAATACTAATTAATTATGTAAATACGGAGTGTAATGCATTAAGAAAATAAGTGAATTTGGGTTACTCATTTGTATCTCTGAGGTGAATCACTAGAAATTTTTTCTATACATAATTTTTTGAGACAATTTTTATATCACAGAGAAAGATGAAAACACTCACACAGCATAATACTGTTGTACCATAAATACCTTAAATATTCAGAGGTTACCTAACTCCCCATCTGGCTTGGAACTATGGTATTTAACTACTAGTGAGGGGGGAAAAAAAAAATCAATGAAAATCCAGACATGTGCTAATCCACTGCACATTAACAACTGTAAAAAGAGTTTAAGAAGGGTGCAAGGAGGAATAACAATTTATATTACTTCTTCAGTTACTGACATATTTATGTATCCAAAAGTTGAAGTTCTATTTCTGGACCATATTAAGGGTGCAGCAATGGTATGTAATCTCCTTTACACGGCACCTATTGGGTTTGCCAGGACCTGTGTTTTCTGCAAGAATCATTTTCTTATTTAATGACTTAAGACTTTAGAGAGCAGGTCATATGGTATAACTGACTCTGATACTAAATATTTTCCAGAGTCTCCAGATAGTCCTCCCTCAAAAATAGTGGATATTTTAAAAAAATTTAAAAATTAATAGTTCTTATCACACAGTTTATTGCTGTTTGCAAGTTCCTGACAGCTGTCAGCCAAACCCAAGTTGTGCTGCTTCAGGCAAAGATCAAATGAAATACTTCGGCTTTAAAACCAAACCAAAACAAATCCCAAACAGCGAACAAAACCCTTATGAGTGTAAGTCACTTTTACATAGCTAAATAGACACACTCTAAAACCTCAGGCAGTACAGATGCTTTCAGAAGGAAGAGATGCCCATTGTTACAGATACACCAGCTATGTTGTTACAGGGGCTGCTCATTATTTGAGTGGTTCAGCACTGACATTCCTGTTAAGTCCAGAATGCTACTGTGTTTAATGTTTGACTTTCGTTGGAAGACAAATCTTACTCCAAATGGACTGTGTTTTTAATAGGGAAGTGAGGCATAGATATGTTTCAGCAAAGCACACAGAGGAAGTCTAAGATGGGGCCAGGAACTGAACCCAGAATGCAGGTTGCAGGCAGCATCTTGTGAGTGAGGTCACCCTTTGGCTCTGTTAGCTTTTAAAAGACTTCTTATATCTCTGTCTTAGCTCATGTTCTATTATATGTTTGCCTTGATAAGCTAGGAGGGTAATTTCAATATTCAGGTTCTTGATTAATTCTGTCAAGTTTGGAATAACTAGTAAAATGCAACTACTAAAGCCTTTATCAGGATGTGCCATGCAACACTTCCCCAGTCTCTCCAGTTCATTCTGTGAATCTGTGAGCCTTGTTTCCTCAGTTGCTGTAGATGCCTCAAAATTACATCAGCTACTTTTGCACTGTTTAAGAAATTAAGAAGTCAAGCAAATAAAGACAACACATTAAAGGGTGGGGGTCATTCTCATCACATGTGGCACTGTAGTACCGCCTGAGCAAAACCTGGCTTTCAAACTGTGCCAAGTCTCAAATACATTGTGTTTGGCTCTGTAGAAGGTCAGGCTACCCTAGGACAGGGAAACCACAATAAAAAGATTTCAAGATAAATCCTCTTATCTCATCCCTTGGTTGAGAAAGAGTCCAAGAAGAAAAAAACTATTTTTTTCTTCATATCAGAGAATAACTGATAGGTTATGCAACATCAAGGTCTGGCAATATTTGACTTGCCCCAGCTACATGCTGCATGCTGGTCCTCTGTGTTCACTTACAGTCTTTGCTCACTTATATACCCACTAAAATTACAGCCCAGAACTTTGTAGTATGAAACTGTAGTGTAAAAATCACCACTGCAAGTTCAACTTGCGATAAATTAGATCAGGGCCTAATTAAGGCTGAGCAAGACCTTTGCCTGTGACTAGATTAACAAGTCACTGTTACTATTTGGCAGGAATATCCTGGTCTGTGTGTACTAAGAGACAGTATCAGTGTCTAAGACAAAAGTAGCTGACTGTGAATATTGCCTGTTGGATGGGGTTGATTCTGTGCAATGGTAGATGCCAAGGCAATTTTCTCGTGGTTGCTTCATACACCCCTTTAGTGTATCTTTTTGTTTTGCTTCCAAATTCCCTTTTCTACCCACATGGTGACCTGTACTGTTCCATGTCAGTAGGAACTTTAGTTGATGCTAATTAGTAGCATATGTTCTTTCAAGAAAGTGGAACAGTGATTATATTACATTTTCAGAGATGTGTTAAAATAAACAAAAAAATAACTGTGTTGGGAAACTTGTGTCTGGCACTCTGAGGTATTGAATTCTCTGAGCTTATTCTGCAACTCTTGGAAAGTAAAAAAGGCAGAACAATCCCTATGAAGAATCAGGAATTTGTCAAGAAATAGTATGATACCTTGATCTACCTGTATAAGACTGTATATATTTTATGCAAAGCAGATACTTCTACATGGAAGGAACTGCAGACTCTTTAATATCATTACCAAAATAGATGGCTGGTACAGCTTTATGCTGCCAGAATTCACCAGAGCAGGTTAAATGCACTGGCCAGTTAAGTGCAAGTATTGAAATTGTGCACATTGATAATTCCATGTAAAGCATCTCAAATGACTTGTGTTAACATAATGATAATTGGATCATTTTAAGGCTGATACACAAGGAGCTTTTTCTAAGAGGACTGAATTGATGCGACTGTGAGTGGTGTGGTGACATCAATCTAAAACAAGTTATCTGGTGAGCAGCAAACGCCTGTTGTATGTTACTGTCCTGTTTGACCTTTTATCTTTTTTAATTACAATGATTATAATAAGTCACTGATAATGAAATGCTTCAGACTGCTCTACCAACTATTATTTAACACTCCTTTCATTGCTTCTGTTCTGAACATGCATCCTAATTAAACTGCCTGTGGAAACAAGGAATGCTGGGTTTATGCAAGGTAAACAGCTCTTTGCCCACTGAAAGATAAGCCAGAACTGACTGTGGCTTTCTGTGAGAACTTCATTAGCTATAAATAGGTAAGCAGGTGCCCCAAGTCAGATTTTAAACAAAAATGTGCTATTGATATTTGCTTTTGCAAAGATTAAATAAACTCAGGCTGACCAACTCTGCCATGGTTTAGCCACCTTATCATTAGGTAATGTGAGCTTTTTCTCTTCTGAAGGTAGGTGGGTTATTTGCTTTTCTTACAAATGAGAAGATATTTCCATGTTTAATAGGATGCTGTATTTTATTTTTATATAAAATTATTGCACAGGGAAAAGAGAGAATTAAAAATGTTTGGAACAATATGTTCAGTGTATTAGCTATGTTTATTTCTGGTGGCATAAACTTTCTCCTTTATCTTGATCATTTAGTCCCCCCGTTTCCTAATTTATTCTGTCTCATTTTTCTAATTGCTGAGAAAGTAATGACACACATCCTTTATTGCACAGTCTTTTGGGTTTTTTTCCCTATCCATCAGAAAAAAACCCTTTATGCTCATGGTCTTGGTGAATATAGCTATTTCTAATTCACACACATACTTGAGCACCTTTTCTGCTTTCCTGGAGTTCCTGAGCATTACCACTGTGAAGTCATGCGTTTACCTTTCTCTTAACTCTTATTTCTCTTACTATTACTAATAGTCTGCATTCCCCACTCATGGCTTTCCTAAGTATTTTTAATCCAGAGTTGACAAGTGAACTGTGAAGGGAAAGAGAAATGCAAGCAAAGGTATGTAATTCAAACCATGGTGGCATTACAATGTGCTCTTGTCATCACTGCCACCATCTTCCACAGGGGTCAGCATCTGACTTCATGGTAAATGACAAAAAATCGAAAGATTGCTGAAAAGGAACTGGGATAGGTAGTATAACACCAGACACTGTTCATCAGTTCATCAACACCAAGAACAGAAAACAAACCTCAGAAGGTCTGTGTTAGTGGCTGTCAAGCTGGCTGTTGCTTTTGCAATTTTGGATCAGGAGGGGGTCTGACATGAGAACAAACAGAACTTGCAGAACCTTGTACTGGGCTATGCATTTCCATTTAACAGCTGTTCTCCTGGTCAGTTCCTCAAGAGGCAGCTGCCAGTCTATTGAAATTGATGTTAATTTTGTGGTGTTTGCTTTTAAAATTTATTTAAAAGAATTTATCTTTTTAATTCTCTAACCTATATGTGGATTCTTTGTGGCTTCCCCTTGCAAACACTGAAGCTGGCCTGCTTAGCTTCTGCTAGCTCTATGTAGATGGAAAATAAACTCCCCATAATCCTTCTAGGGTCTGGTTCTTCTGTAACATCAAAACCTAAATTGTGCTAGCAGAAGATCAGTTACTGTTGCCTTGTAAATGTGAATTGTTTATGTATTCTGACCTTCTCTGTAAGAACCTCTCTGTATTTATTTATTTATTTATTTATTTCCTCCAGCACACTTCAAAGGAGTCTGTCCTTCTGCATGATGGCTTCAGAGTTTATTCTGGAAAGAATCAACATCTCTCTTCTTTTTGTTCTCCTAGACTACTTTCATAAGTTTTCCCTTGA